ATGAACGTAGTCAGGTCGTAAGAAGAGTGTGATGAGGAAGGCATGAGCGTGCTTGATTCGGACTATGGTCTTGAACAGCGTGGTATAAACGTGGTATAGTCGTAGTAGAAGCATGGTTGAGTCGCTGTGAGAATGTGATGGTCGTAGTGAGGTCGTTTTGACGTCTCTGTGAGATCGTAGCTCAGTATCTCCGACTAGAATCGCGCTATCGCTACGCTCTCGCTACGATGGTACAGCGATCTTTGCGATATTACCACGACCTTACTACGTTTTCAGTACGCTTCTACTACGACCTGATTTCGCCACGACCGCACCACGATGGTTTTGAACATGTTTAAAGTTGGTCCACGGACACCACGACCGTACCACGACCTTACTGGGAACTACACGATCGCACTACGATCGTCAAAATTTGCATTTTTTTTAGAGATCGTAGTGCGATCGTGGCCTAGTGTGACGGGGGTTTTAGAAAGAAATAGTTAGTTGGATAAATGTCATATGTATTTCTATCAATATATATCAAAGTATCTAAGCAAAACTAGTTGGTAATCTTTTCTAATGTTTCTCGTTCGAAATTTCAAGGCATAACCAGTTCCGATGAGAAATATTATTTTGACACAGACCCATGAATTTTCTAATATTATTCCCTAGTGCTGCATGATAAGCGCTAATAATTTGATGATACTGATTTCAAGTTTGAGGGACAGCATTATCTCGTAAATTCTTTGTTGATGAATTAAAAAATTTGAGTTCTAACTCTCGCAGGCAAAGATGACCTTTGAACTGGCTATGTTATGCTATTGTTAGTCATATAGCTTTATATGTGTTTTGGTTTTGTACATCCTCATCTTTCAAATGTTTGGAATTTAGCGTTTCTGATATGGGTAAATCCAGAAAAGCACTTCGTGATCATTTGTCCATTATTGATTTTAAAACCTGTTTTTCTTTCAAAATTTCAAATTGTCGCCTTTTGTGTTTTCGTACTACATGATTTTGTTACCTTGGAACGTAGCATTATTGAGGAATAATAATTAATTTGAGAGAAATGATAATACAACCGATTTTTCTTAAATCTGAAGTGAAATTGTATTAAGATAGTTGTATGTAAATAATTATGGAAAAAATTGAACAAGCTTAAAGTTAAACTCGAACTCTAAGTCGAAATGTTACTCTAACTCGAAGTTTAACACGACATGGAAATTGAAAAGAAACTCGGACTGTTATTTGAACCTTGACTCGAATTCTTACTCAGATCTAAAGCATAACTCGAAATTAAACTCGAACTCAAATTATAACTTGTAACTCGAAAAACATTTACTCGAACTTAATTCGAGCTCCAACTCGAACTTAATTCGAGCTCCAACTCGAACTTGAATTCGATGTTGACCTTAACTCGAACAGTGAGAAAATAAATAAAATCGAGAGAAAAAAATCGAATACGTTTATGCAGTTTCTATACCAAAAGAAAGAATGATGTGAATTTATTCTCACAGTTTTACAAAAATAAAGAATAATTTAAATATTCTTAATACGTGTAATGTTGTAATCAATTATTTCTTTCAGTTTAGGATTTGTATACTGCCACCTTAAAATTAATTAACTTAATTTATCTCCATAATTGCTCGTTGTTTGCTTCAAGTCAGATTGCAAATTTGGACACTTCGCCAAATAATAAAAGAGAAAAGAAAAAGATAAAAAAATCTGTATAACTTGATAAATAATTTTCAGAGTTTTATTAATTTTTTTTATGGAAAAATTGAAGTCATACTAAATATTGTTGTACTACTATGCAGATTAACGGTACTACAATCTGTCTATACCTATATTTTGGCAATGCATAAGGCTATATTTTTTTTGGACTGTTAATGATGTCTTTACTCTAAATCCATTGTTCTGAACGTGTACTGATTGATATCTTGGTCTTAGATACATGACTTTTTTTTTATCAGTTTTTATTGGCTTTCAGTAACTACTGCAAGTACTCTCAGATCTGTACTTTGTGTCTTTTTTGTTGTTAGGGATGTATACATACCTGTGTTTTTTGATAGATGTTTTTTTCTGATTTGTATTAATCTGTTGAGTAAAAAGATGAAAACAACACGTTAAATAATTTCATGGGGCTGAAGCGATTTTCTGTATTTTCCTTCACCAGGAACGCTCAAAGCCGAATATTTGAAAGCCGAGAATTAATAAGAACCGAAACAGTTGAAGAGCTAAATGACAAACAAATACCTAAAAAAATAGCCAAATCCATCTGAGGGCAACTTTCCCTGAGGGGGTTGAAACCTTAGTTTCTTTATAATTTTAAAATTCATAAACGGACAATTGTAGAAATGTTTCATCTTAATCTTGTCAGTAACGAAGTACTGACCACGAACTGATGATACCCTCGGGGACTGATAGTCCACCAGCAGAGGTATCGACCCAGTGCTGTAAAAAATTAAAACAACACGTTAAATGAGTTCATGTGTCCGAAGCGCTTTTCTTGAGTAAAGCCCTTTTCAACTGATTTTTATAGTTTGTTAATCTGTTGTGCTGGAACACCACTGTCTCAGATTATTTGGGTGGGTTAAGCGATCACAAACATGTTTAGCCCCGCCACATTCTGTATGTACCTGTCCAAAGCCTATAGTTCAGTGTTTGTCGTTGGTTCATGTTTGTCATATTTGTTTTTCGTAAATTCGTTTGTTAAAAATTGAATTGATTCATATTTTTCATGTAAAGGCCTTTTAAGGCCGGCTTAACGGTATCATATAATTGGTAACATTCACTTCATTTGAACTTTGATTGGTAATTGTCTCATTGGCAATCATACCAAATCTCCTTACTTTTTTTGAATACATATCATTTTCTCCAGAATAACAATGAATAAGTACAATATACTGAGTACGAACGGTACAGTTTATAGCTATCTGCCAATTATCTTTCTCCATTCTTTGAAATACATTAGAGTTATAAATGAGTGATTTTTTATATCATGACATAAAACGTTTATAAAGCTGAATAAAAAAAAAACGTTCTCGTCCTTATGAAATCTGATATTCACATAACGTATCATCTCTTCGCATACTTTATGTACATCATCCATACCGTTGTGTACACAGCGCGGAAAAGGTGTGGATAAGTAGAGAACAATGAATAAAAAATAAAGAATATAAACATAGAGAAAGAAACACCCCCAAAAGAATAGGGAATAATGGGCTGTTTAGACATTGAGACTTGAGAATAATTTGGGAAAAAGAAAAGACAGAAATGACTTTAGAATTAAAGAATACAGAAATGAGGACACCACGTTAGAATTCAAACTTCTATGTGCAATCAATATTGATCAATGTTTAAACATGTCAGTCACCTATGAATGTTAATAATTAAGAAATATTGTGTTTTAAAACACAACAGAAATGGAGAATTATCTAGTTGTTTTGCTAATGTCTGTACTTGTTTTGTTTGGTGCATTATATGTAAGCAATGTAGAACAAAGAATAGTCCAAAGTGAAGACGAAATGGATAAAGTGAAAGTAGAATTGGAGTCGACGAAAAATGAACTTAAACAAGTAAACATGGTTAAAGTAGATTCTGAATCGACGAGAAATGAACTAAAACAAGTGAAAGTAGAGTTGAAATTGATGAATGAGCGAATCAATGTACATAGTAAACAAATGAAAGAAAAAGACAATTCCCGCAGGAAAGAAATAGATAAAAATAAGGAAGACGTGATGGCGTTACTGAAAGAAACACAAAACCGTTACGAGCACACATCAAATGAAATTAAAAAGGAAAAACAACACAGTCGAGAATGCACTACAGCTATATATATATATATATATATATATATTACTTAAATCATTACTTTTGTATACTAGTAGTTAAGGAGCATCATCTTTGACAATATAACTTATAGGTTAATAGTACAATTGATTTTGTCAACAATCTGCATAAAATATTTGCAATGGACGTTAAGAAAACAATTAATATTAATCATGTTATCACAACTTGCAAAAGTACCGATCGCGAAGCAACGATAAAGCAACCAGTGCTTTATAAGGGATTGTTCGGTTGCCAGGTCATGTATCTTTTTAAGTCTAGGTAGTCGTCGGTTTCGATACTGATAGGTTTCACCCTTCAAGTGAAGTGTAATTTGTAATCAATAAATAATAGAGCACCTTACGTGGTATGACCTAAGTTATGATGTTTGTAAACGTTTTAAATACTTGGCTTTCCGGAATATGTCCTTTTTATAGTTTCTAGTGATCGTCCTACAGAATAAAGTGTCACGTACGAAACAACGAAAAGACCACAGATCAGAAAAAAAATCAATCGTGAGATCGTGAGAGAGAGAGAGAGAGAGAGAGAGAGTTTACAAAATCAGTTTCGATGCTCTCGAGATCGTGATTCTCAATTGCATGATCAGTTTTCATATAGACTGACCAATTTAGACAAAATAATCAAACGATAAACATTGGGCCAATGATAATGGCTTTAATGCTTAGCTTATTAAAGACTTGTTTCGGGAGTTTCGGAACTCCAAATTGCAACTTGTTCTAACACTTGAAAATACAACTTTAATCAAATGTACATACATTATTTCTTTATATTTGTTAGAAATATACAACTTGAATACAAAAATAAATCAAATAGTTCATGTTTTTATTTTGTTGTTTAATTTATGTTTAAATAAATGCAATTCAGTTTTCGAAAAAAAAAATTCATATGAGAAGTCCACATACACTATACTTTTTTTTCAACCCTAAAATTTAGTTATTAAATGCTATTTCTTTCAAAACAAGCATGCTCATCATTCATTAAAATTGATCCGTTAAACTACCCCTTAAAACAATCCGTTATGAAAATTTTGATATTTTGTTTGTCTAGGTTTTTTAATTTCTATTTTCAGACATACTTAATTAACATTCTTTTAAAGTGACTATTCTATCATTAACTATTTTAACAACTTATAAATCGTTATTGATAGCGAAATTTAACCTTCATGTTTTTTTCAGAACTTCACACACAAAGACCTGGGTTTTATGCAACTCTGTCGTCCTATATTACTTCAGGTCAGACTCAAAGAATAGAGTTCGACAAGATTATAACTGATGTTACAAATAATTATAATAAGATGACTGGAGTTTTTACAGTTCCAAAGGACGGACTTTATCATTTTTCATTCACAATGTTCTCAAAATCACTTCATCTAAATGCCGAAATTATACAGAATCATCAAGTAATTGGCCGAAATCATGGAAGTTCCGCCTACGTGTCAGCAGCAATTAACGTAGTGTTTTCCTGTAGGGAGATTCAGTTTTTGTACGTCACATGGCAGGAGAAGGTGCTCAGAACATCCATAGAGGAGGATTTTCAGCATGTTCTGGATTCTTAATTTACTAGTTAAATGAGAGCTGCATGCATGAGACAATGTACTACCAAGATGATATGGTTTGACCCTCACAAGTCATTTTTTTTCCATCTTTGTCCATAGAATAAGAAGTTTATGTACAATAACAAGAGACTGTGCAGAGATAAATCCTGATTATCGGTCTGTTGGCATTTAGACATTTAGGCATTTGGGAAATTTTTTTTTTTTTATAGACGACGTTGGGTAATATATTCAACATGTTTTGTGAGATCTCAACCATCCCCTTTACTTCTAGCAATGTAAAGTCCGAGTCCGATGTCAGAAATGACAATGATACATAAATATCAAAGGACTACTAGCAGATACTGACCTGCCAGCTCCAGACCTCAACTTAACAGATTGAAAGATTATGTTTTCATCATATGAAAATCAAGCACAATCCATCCCGTTAGGGGTTTAGTATCATACCATCATAAAATATATGAGGAGAACATAAACCGTGTCATGCCTACACCTGGTTTTAGAATAAATGTTTTTATTTCCGATGCAAAGACCCTATGAGTGAATCAACATTAATACCAAAATATGCCATCTTTAATGCCCTGACAACAGTATGGTAACTATATCCCTTCTGAATACGTCTGTTTAAATGTTTTGTTAGTTTTTGAGGTGAAGCCGACACTTTTGTGCTTTGTATAGAATATCACCACAAAAGTTTGGATGTGAAATACCTGAACATTTAAGATGTTTGCATGTTGATTTATATTTACGAATGATGTCCTTGTACCGAAGATAAAATTTAATAAATGTTTTGACTAGTTTGTGATATCGAAAACCTTGGTGTCATAATTTTTTAGTAATACAGAGATTTCTTTCGTTAAAATCAAATAGTAGTTTTATACGACCGTTTACGGGCGTATTATGGTATACCGTTGTCCGTCCGATTGTCCGTCCGTCGTCAACATGTCGGACAATAACTCAAAAATGCTTTAACCAATTTGCATGAATTTTTGTTGAATTGTTTATATGCATTGACGTGAGATCCTTTCCGATTTTTTATAAATTTTAGGTTTTACGTTTCGGAGTTATGGGATTTTATTCATTAAAAAGGATTATTGTCCAGTTTTCGGACAATAACTTAAATATGCTTTGAGCAGTTTTCATGAAACTTTGGTAAATTGTTTATACTTAGTTGACATAAGCTCCCTTTCGATTTTTATAAATTTTAGATTTTACGTTTCCGAGTTGTTGGATTTTATTCATAAAAAAGGAGGGATTTTCCAGAAAAAAACTCAAAAGTGCATTGCGCAGTTTTCTTGAAACTTTGGTGACTGGTTATATCTATTAAAATAACCTCCCATTAGTTTTTTTTATAAATTTCTAATATGACATTGAGGAGAATTAGAACTTTTTTTTTGAAAAATAGACGGGCGTATCATGCGCTCATGGGGCAGCTGCTCTTTATTTGAGTAGTTCGGGTTTAATCGTAAATCAAATGGTTATGAACTTCCTATGAAAAGAATGAACAAGGTTAAATCAAGAAACATTTCAAAATAAAAAAAGAACACTTGCAAGTGAATAATTCGACCTCATTGAATCCGTATTCATGTGACCTTCAATTTAACCCATTAGCTAGAGATTGGTTACGCATGTTTTAGTCGTGTTCAGCCATTAAAAAGTGAAACAAAGGTGAACCATTTCTTTGACTGTGTCGGTGTACAAAAAGGTTTCTCATACAGGTAAAAACGATAATTAAATTATTTATTTAACCTACAACATGAAATCAAACAGCCCTAAGAAAAATCCAATTGTCCGAGGTCGCTATCTATTTATGTTTATGTTTATATCGGGTTATGTGACCATCGTACGTCAGTCTTCGGAGGTCATTTCGATAGTAAATTAGTAGCGTCTAGACTAGAAAACACACGAAATTCTGATAAATGTTATCGAGAACATGCATTGTTAACTGTTTATTTCAGACTTATTGTAATGTGGATATACGTTTTGGTATGTTATAAATCAAATATGAGAATTTGAGTCAAATCGGTGGACATGATGCCCCTTTGAATTTATAATGCAGTCCAAACAAAATGAGTGTTAAATATTATTGATTATAAATTCTTGCGATTGAAATCATACGTCAAAAAAAAAAAAAAAAAAACACCAAAAAACACCAAAAACTAAAACAAAGACAAAATATTATTTTTGCGTATTAAAATGTTTGAAAATTTTTCTTCGCAATAAATGAAGTTATAACTTCTCAAATATATTATTTTGTTACTTTGACATTCTTTTATCAGGAAATTGTATCAAATGATGCTATTTATGCAGTTGAATGAGAATTTCTATTCATAATGTCGATAGCATCCTTGCTTTGGAATTGAAGTCATTCGAGAAAAAAAATAGTAAAAGCAAATATCAACGTTTTCATGAAGAAAGTTCATTATTTGCAGTAAAAACGTCGGAAGTGATTTATCCCCAGTGGTCAGCTGAAGTAAGGCGGGGGTAGTACAGGTTAATAAAGTGAGCTAGAATAAATTCTATTTAGTGCAGTGCGGTTTCAAAGTAAAAAAAAAAACTAAATAATTACCTACCAAAGCCGAGGTGAAGTCAGGTACTCCGGAATGTTCAACAGTTTCTAATCAACTAGACGACAGACAATTACCGTGAAAGTCAAATAATTTTTTTAGGTCTTTCTATTTTTTCGTGGAAAGACCTTTTGATCTTGTTCTTATTTCTAATTTTTTTCTCCTTCCGGCACTCTTATTTCTTGCGTGTAATTTTTGTTTCGCTACTTGTCGATAAAATCTGTGGTGATATGATAATATAGTTAATGCGCAATTGGCCTTGACCCTGCTTAACCTAAATTAAATACTTTTCTTTGTAAGAGTTATCTCCCCGAACACGGTTTTTCTTGTTTTCTAGTGAGTTAATCTTCTCCATAACCGTAAAAGAAATCAACACATTTGTTTTTCATACATTTCTTGTTATATCATCAACATGTTTTGTTAAATTTGGCAGAAGCGATACAAAGACTCCATATGAGATTCATATCCCCTCTGTATTTGACATTCCTGATTTGTTTATGTATCTTATGACCTGAAAGTGATAGAGACTTACGGTATTTGTGGTACCTGGTTCACAAAAAAGGTATTTGAGGTCAAAGTCAAACGTCAAACAAACTGTACTAAATTATTCAAAAAAAGAACTAATATACAAAATTGTAAGTTGCAACATATCTCCATGATCCAAATGCCAAAAAAAATGGCTGAAATGGTACGATGTCTTTAAAATGGAGTATTCTTCCTTGGAGAGTTTAAAATAAGTCGTATTGAGATATAACTAATAAACCATACAAAATAACGACCTATGGTATTCTGCTGATATAGACATATGACGTAAAGATATGTCAACCGGAAGTAATCTTGAGTAAACAGGAATTAGTGGGTTTTTTTTGCACTTCCTTTATGGAAAAGTATATTTTAAAAATAGGGATCAACCAGAAATGGCCTTCTAAAAAACCGAAAGTAACAAAGTATCTCTCTTTCTTCAGGAAAAAGTAAATAGTCACCATATACTTCTGGTATCAGTGTGAATAAAGCTATTGCATAAGACCGGAAGTTACATTTTCATAACCTTCAGTAGAAAGTTATCTCTCTTATTTCAGGCTCAATTGTATTGATACCATACATTTTTGGAATCATTATGGAAAAAAACCTATGATTTGACTTTAGTATTAACTTTGAGTAAACCAGAAGTCATTTTTATGCATTCGAAAGTTTATGGTGGAAAGACCTTCAATTGTTTTCTGAACAATATATTTTTAATTCTTATTGATTTGAATTTCATAGTTGATAGATTACACTATTATTAGACTATACCTTTTACATTCTTATTGATTTGAATTTTATAGTTGATATGATTACAAAATTATTAGACTACTAGTATACCATATAGAAAACAAATGTAATCATCAGACATTCTAATATCCTAAATATACTATTCTTATACAAGTAAACATCGTACCACAACAGCAATTTGTAGTTAAAATCGAACTGCATTTTCAATGTAAGAAAAAAGATAACAAATGCATAAGGCCATACTCAAGAACAAACTTAATTCATGACAAAGAAAGCACTACGAAAGTAGGCTGCATAAGGTTTTTAGTCTGGTCTGTGTGGTAGTTCTCTTTGTATCATGTTTAAATATTATATTTTCAACAGTATAATCACGTCAACTTTAAACTTTGAGTACACATGTGCATAATAGTGTCAACAAAAATATATATATGTGCCAATTTAGATTTAAGATATTTCAACAAGTAACAATAAATTCAGTATGTGTCTGCGCAAAAGACTAATTTTAAATAGACAATGTTTATATTTCTAACTTAATCATTTTTATGATGTCCACTCTTATTTATCTTTTTCTACCTTGTATCTTATATATTCTTTTAGCAGTTTTATTTGTTTTCTTTCTTCTTGTGTTTTTAATTGATTTCATATCTGATCCGGGAACACACTTATCGTACCTTGATTTTTGTTGTAATAAATCTGATACATTAAATAATCATTCTATTGCTTCAATTCATGATATGTTAAATATTCGGGCATTTAAAAAGGTTTTTTTTTGTGCATTATTTGAATTATTAAAGCCCCAAATGTTGATAGTTGAAATTCTTCAATTTTAACGTCAAAATTTAACACGCAAAGTTGAATAGGAAATTAATCATAATGTCTATAATATATATTCTTTTGCCATAAAACTTGGTCAACAGTCTAAAAATTCATCAAGCTTTGATCGTACCAAGTGTTATTAAGATTGGTTAAGTCTTTCTATCCTATTAGGTCCGGGAATACACTTATCGTCCCTTGATTTTCGTTGTCTACAAATATAGTGACCCCTAGTGTGGACAGTGTGTTACTTGTCATTTTTTTATACCCTTTCCAAATTTATTTCTTCATGTGTTATGCCTCAAATAGCAAGTAGGGGATGAAACAACACTGTAAAAAAATTTGAGTCATGAATTAAGTAAAGTAGTGATTTGGTCCATCTAAAAAAGGTTGAACATCAGTATTTCGGAAGTTGTCAGAAGAATTCAAGACGCCCTGAAAATCAAATTGTCCATCTTTTGAGTTAGAACTGATAAAGTTTTCTATAATTTTGATATAATTTGTCCCAAAATTAGTATATCACACTGTAAAAATATTATTGATAAAGCGCAGGTGGGATTTTTTTAATTTCCATTTATCGACTAAAAGAAATGCACAACGAAATAACTGTGTTCTCGGGCCATCTAAAGGCTTATTATTTACTTGGCTATGAATTCTAATTGCTTCTCTGGAAATTTTAATATGTTGATGTGTATTTCAGTCCTGTTGTTTAATGCTGGTTATTTATTTCAAACATTCGGGAAAAGCTCAATGCAGCATTGGCAGTTTATTTGTGTATTACTAATTGGTATAATTGCATGCTTCATTTATATGACTTTCACGTTTTTAGGGGACGGAAGAATAATAAAGGTAGTTCAACGTCGTTGAGTTTACTTCGTTATTTCATTCGTAAAATCTTACACACAACTCCATAAAATCACCAAACCAATTTGGCAAACTATGTCATTCGCAAACGAACTATGTATCTTGCGCCAACCTTCATAGAATCAATGCGGCTAGCCTTATATCTATTAATTACGACCAGGAACTTAAACTTTCTAAGTACATATAATTTCCTGACCTCTAGCATATATTTAATCAAATAATACCTAAATATTAATACCAATGACTCCTTGTTATCTTTGCAGTATGAATTAAAAAAGATAAGTGGTGTACTTAAATGAAACAGCAATCCGACAATAACAATAACCGAAAGACATTTAAAGCGAAAAAAGGGTCTTAAACAATAGATATTTTTCTACACAATATATCAATCTCTGAATTGTCCCAACGCCTTTAAAAGCTGTGAATGAGTTTAAGAAAAACCAATCAAACATTTGTCATCATTACCCAGTTATTAAAAAAAAAATGAAAAACAAAAAATATGCAGTTAAGAAAAATAACATATGGAGAAGACAACTACTAGTCTAGTTTTTACCGTGTTATCACAGGCACTTGTCTCAGAAAAGACTATCTATATGACTTTATCAAGTAAAATTATATAGTTTTTTTTTAGATATATGCCTGTGTTTGCAATTCCAATGTCAAGGTTTAAAACATCAGTAGCTATGAGTGTTTAAATAGAAAGAAAATAGTCAGTTAGATAAATGTCATAATATGTATATTTCTAACCGGTTATCCAATGACAACACGAGTATATATTTCTAATAATATATACTCGTGTTGTCAGTGGTTAACCGGTTAACGGTCGGAAGGACCTAATATCGAATACCAAAAACGATTACCAGTTAACCGGAGCTTTTTCAGTTTTAATATATTTGATATAAACGTCTATTAAAATCATTAAATAAATGATATTTTTGTTGAGTTTTAAAATGATCGTAATGGTAATTAGACAGATCAATTATCAAGTATATTCATTGCTACTTTTTATCTTGAAAACATTCCAATTTTCCAAATTAAACAGCACTTAGACCATAGCAAAGTACTCTCGACCAATGAAAATGTACGATTTGATGTCTCTTAATTGTGTAGAATGAATGTGAATCATGTTCTTAGTAAGGGATTATCCAATTACTAGGTCTATTTACAGTTTAAAACAAGAGTTTCTATAAATGAGTTACAACTGCCCCGAAGTACATTTATCAGATTGAAAGGATTTATCAGAGTGATTGAAACTGATTAAAAATCAAAATAAGTTGAAGTTTACTGATGCAGAAAAATTTGTACCTTTAATGTTATTATGAAAATATTGATAACTTCAAATTTCTAACAAAATAAACAATATCAAAGCAATGCATAAAAAAAAAAAGAAAAAAAAAGTTTTAAAATAAAAAAAACCCTAAATCGTTAGCTTTCAAAAACTCCGATTACTGAACCAGCGGTTGGGAAGAATAGTTATTTCTAATATTCCGATAAAATAAAAAAATAGAAAAACAGGAATTTGATTTAAGTTTGGAATATATTTAAAACTTTTAAAGGCATTTTATTAGAACATTTCCCTGACATAATGAAATAGTATTTGATTTAAAAAGCCGGACCAAATTTTGGCTGTGAAATAAAATCAGTTGTAACTCAAATGTATTTAATGATTTAAATTGTAAATAAAAAAGGATAGTTCCTCACTAAAATATTACATGATTTACATCAATACTCACAATCAGAATACATATACAATTCCTACCTTTTCTTTGTACTGTTGTGTCACCTAATGTCTAGAACGCATTTTTTTTAAATGTTTCCCAAATTATAAGAAAGTCCTTACATCACTAAAACTAACCAATAAATGAAACGCTGAAAAATGAAGTCCTGCAACAATTATAAACATTTAATTTACACTGACAATGAAACTAATTCTTGAATAGAACCAATCAAGAGATCATTTGAGCCTTGAGCACTTTACAATATTCTAAGTTTGTAAGAGAATGATAATCCCTAACTTCGTGATAAGTACTCGCTAACGCTCGTACTTAATCACGAAGAAAGGGATTATCATTCTCTTACATATACAAAGACAACTTGTCTATCTTCTCGGGGCAAGATCTAAAGTATATAAAA